GCAATGCTTGATGCTGCAGACAAAGGACGTGGACCTCAAACTCAAGGCCTTCAAAAGGTATCCAACTTGCTGGAAGCCGATGGTCCACAGCGTCTTCGAGTTCATCAAGAAAGCGCATGACAAGGCATCAAAAACCGCGCCGGTCAAGTGTGGTCATGGCCGGGGAAGAGCTACTTGTTCCCTTCCCGCGAGAGTGCAAAGAAGCCTTGCATGAACAAGGATGTTGTAACCCATGTCGTCGTCAATGTCAGGAAATCCTTCAACTTCCTCAAGAAATCGGAAGTCACACTACCAGAAGATATTCTTGTAGCGTGGGTTCTTCTTCAGGATGACATGGCTTACGACATCCTTGTTGATGCAAGGCTTCTTTGCAGTGCGGTTATGGACAAGCGCCAGCACATGGGATGAGCCCAGTCTCCGGGAAACCGGACCGGTGAAAGAAGGGTTGAGGGTGTACTTCCATAGTCCAAGCTTGAATTGGTCAGAAAGTAAAGGAAGTGTTCTCTCCAGCTTGCCTGGCGGGCACCTTATTTGTGAGGCATGTCTTTTCATGTGCACGAATTTATTTGTGCGCGTTCAGGAAACCCGTCTTTCATGCTTGCTTTTATTGTCGTGTTCGTGTTGAAATTTTGTGGACTGCTTCATCTGCAGCCGCTGCTCTCAAGAGTGCGGACAAAATTTCAGTGGGCGGAGTTCCTGGGCCTCTTTTAACCTCAAGAGGCTCCCGAAAGCAACATTCGGACGTTGGGATTAGCCCACCGTGCACGTGCCCCCTCCTGTTGAGGGGGTACAGATGGAACATGGCGGCTGTCTCTGCTCAGATTTTGCTTCTCTGTGAGCGCCTTCGAACTACCGAGGAACAATTGTGTGAGGTCGCTTCTACGCAGGCCAGCCACAGTGCCCGCGTAACTGAAATCAGCCGACTCATGCACGAGCTCCGAGAAGAGATGCTTGAAGCAGTTGCAAATGTTCATTTTCGCATCAACAGTGTGCAGTTTACAGCAGAGAGAGCCGCTGATCGCTTGAGTGCCCACTCTGTCTTGTTAGAGACATTAGTCTTCAAGATGGCCTTGTTGGAGTCTCGGCCCGACGACACCGACTCCACGTCTTGGCTTGATACCATGGACTGATGTCGTGCTGCATTTAAAATCTTCCTGCTCAGCTGTTCTCAGGGGGATTAGGATGAGCCAGGTCGGCGATGTGCATCGTCGTCCTGCGTAGTAGTTGTCAGAAGTCGTCGTCGTAGTAGTTGTCGTAGTCGTCGTCGTCGTAGTAGTAGTAGTAACAGCAGCAGCAGGTGTAGTAGTAGTCGTCGTCGT